ATTCAGTTTGCAGAAGGCTGTGGATGACGATGGGAACCCAAGAGACATTTGTGCAAAGTGCATAGGAAACAAGCCTTCAGTGATGTCCCTCTGTCCATGATGAAGGGAAGGAAGTGGTTACTAAATTCAGTGCATTGCAGAGATGAGTATAGAAGACGAAAGGGTTAAACCAGACTTGAACAGTTAAAACTTTGTCAGTTGATCCCCGTCTCATGAGTGTTGGACCTGATCTGGTTTTCATCAATTTCTGTATTTTGGGTTTTTTAAAATTTTTGTTTGTTCAGATTAGATTTCATCTCAGAGGTGTTATGTCTTTGGGGGGTTCACCCTCTTGAAGTTGTGTTATATGTTTTTCGGTACATGAAACCCAGGATTGGTGAACCTATAGGGACAGCAAGTCGAATAAGGGTTTGGGTGGGGGGGCTGTACAGTGGTGGTGGGGATGTAAACGGGAGACAATGTCAAGGAGTCCAGGAAGAAAATGAATGTTTGGAAACTGATTGTAATAGCAATTGTACAAAACTGCTCGACGTGATTGAACTGTGGAATGATAGGATATGTGTATTAGCTCCCAATCGATAATCACTTTTTTAGGGGAAAGTAAAAGGATCATCATAGCTGAGGGTGAGACACTTCAAATCCCGTCTTTAGCCTCTAGGCTTGTTCACAAACCAGGATACGGCAGTGATTGTCCTCCGTTTCCTTGACCCACGGAATGATCTAACAGACCTATGCACATCCAAATCATTGGCTCTGTTTCCGCCCTTGTTCCTTTTCTCTTCTCTTTTTCATCCAGTTCCCCTTGAGACCGAATCCCCCAGCATCTGCTTCAGTGCATTTCAACCCGCTTCCAAGTTTATCTGCGGACTGCTTTGCGCATTCCTCTTCCATCACTGAAAACCTAGTACAAACATTTAACTGCACTTTTAATCATAAAAATAATACATGCCAACGACGAATTTTCAAACAATGTAATCATGCTCATTTTTCTCTCCCTTGTCCCTAACAGAGAGCAGTGAAACACTGCCATGTTTTCACACTGTCGTGCTATAAACACACATTCATATCTTGGTCGTCTTCACGGGTCAGTCAGTCCATCTCCTCTCTTGTATTGTTGCAAAGGCTGCCCTCGGACGCACAGCACAAAAGGCCTGTCCCTCGGTTTCCCTCGGAGTTGGGGCAGTGGTTGTGAGCTTCCGCCTGGTTCTGCTCCCCCTTACGACTGCTCGGTACCCTGAGAGCTGACCAGGCCTCCATTCCCAACTTCCCCACCTACAGTGGATAGAGTCCATTCTGAAAAGATAAAAAGCATTTCTTGTAGTATCTTAGCATTTAACCATAATTAAGAACCATTTTAGTTATCTTATATAACCTACCTTTTACTATGATTTACCATTATCTATTTTTTATTTTGCTTTTTTATATACTAAATAACAGCCTTCTATATCATGTGCAAATTTATCTGTAAAAATTACACCTATGAGAAGAATACAACATGTATTGGGGAAAATTTTTTTAAGTGGCAAAGGCTTGAGAGTTTATATCCAGATTTTAAAATTGATAGTGTCTATGGTTTAGGAGCAAAAGAAATATCCGTGAAACAAAATTAACTGTCCAGAAACCGATCCACATGCTATGCAAATATCATGTGAAAGTGGTGTGGCATTTAGATCAGTGAAGGAAAGTGAGACATTAAAACCGTCTTGGCTAGCAGGATCTTGACACCACTTCCTCTAGCGGGTAATGAATATGCACCATAAAAGCATTTCTGTAAAGCACTGATGAATACTTTCATAGTGTTAAATTTTCAAAGTGTCTCTATGCTTACTAAGGGGGCCCATTAGTCATATACGAAGGGTTTGATGAATTGGAACCTTCTAAATTATGCAAAACATATTTAGAGCCTTTCGCCATCTTTACACTTAATAGCTAGACGGCTTATGCTTGAATTTCTTCACCTCTAACCATATTTTCCTCCCGGGAAATTGCAGAACTAAGCATGAGCGCACACAAACGAAGTTTATGCTGAAACTTTCTTTAATCAAATGACCTGTCGTTTCCCTGCTAGTTCGTAGCTCATCCAAACTGCCAGCAGCAGCTTCTCTCCATCTGGTACGAGAATCTCTCTGGTTTGCGACAGCAGACGATAGCGGTCAAGTTTCTCGTGGTCCTGGCTGTTGCCATCGGCCTGCCCTTCCTGGCCCTCATCTACTGGTTTGCCCCATGCAGCAAGGTATGTCTGTAAAACCTGTCTTTTGAAAAATGTGGGTGGTTGTATATATCAGAGCTAGTCATCAGGGAAATGTTTTATTTCCAAAATAAAAATTTCAGGGAGATCGTAGTTGGGTTTAAGTAATTTTTATCATTTCCATATTAGAAAATTGATACATACTTGCTGTAAGAAAAATAAAGGAAAGAGAAATAAAATGTAATGAAGAGAAGAGTCATGCTATTAAGGTGTACAGAAAACTTGTTTCTGTGTTGGTATGCTGCCTCAAAATCCTCACTGCTGCCACCTACTTGATTCTGACTCACAGGGACTCCATAGGTCAGGGTAGAATGGCCTTTGTGGGTTTCTGAGACTGAATCTTTATGGGACTAGAAAGCCTCATCTTTCTTCTCTGAAGCAGCTGGCAGTCCCCAAACTGCTGGCCCTGTGGTTAGCAACTCAATGCATAACCCACTGTGCCACCAAAGGTCCCTCAAATATGTATTTGTAGGCATATATATGCACATATTTTTGTGAGGTCATATCATAAACTGAGAAGATAGTTCTCCTCCATAAAAAAAAATTGAAGTGATCTTTTTATTTTGCCTTTATTGGAGCTAGTGCAACAATAAAAATATCAAAACTTAATTGAGACAACTGTGTAAATAACAATGTAATATGGTAGAGAAGAATATTTCTTTTAGGGATGGAGTACACTGGAGAATAAAGGTACTATGTTTTCCAAAAATGAAATTTATCTCCCCAGAGTCTTACAAAGACAATCCCATCGAATGGAAGTCTACTTTCAGATTTCAGAAAGGTTGACCCATCATCCTGTAAAGTCCTTCACTGACCACGCACCTCACCTTCATGTTCTTGAAGTCCCCCTTCTGGGGCTACTTACAGCTCGATTCTTAGAAGCAGAGTGACTGGAACCATTCAAACGTTGTGTAGCTAAAGTGGCCCTTGGACCACTTATGTGTGGTCTAGATAAAATAGTTGGACCACTTGCCATTTTTCACACATTTGTAACACATAGGTACAAATACACTAGTATCAACATATTGACTTGTTGTTAGGCACCATCAAGTTGGTTTCGATTGATACTGGCCCTATGTACAATGGAATGAAACACCGCCCAGTCACGTAACCTCCTTATCATACTTGCTATAGCTGAGTCTGTTCTCGCAGTCCATTTTGTTCAGGGTCTTTTTCTTTCTGTCCTGACCAAGCATGCTGTCCTTCCAAAGGGACTTCGCTCTCTCGCTCGCCTGTCCAAACTGTGAGGTTGAATCTTGACATCCTTCCTTCTAAGGGGCATTCTTGCTGTACTGTTCAAAAGAAAGTTATGTTTATTCTTCTGGCAGCGCAGGGGATATACAATTCTCTTTGCCAGCATTATAATTCAAAGCCATCTATTTTTCTTCTTCATTATTCATCTTTCCAAAACCACTTATTTGGTGATTTAACCCCTTACAGACACTTCTAAGTGGCCCATGCGTACAAGGCTTTATGCTTAATGAGAACCTTATAATTACTCCTTTTGGTGATGATAGAAAGTGCTGAAAACAGGGCATTTTCTTACACGGTTAAAATCCACCAGCACAAGTTTTGCCCCCGTTAAAATATATAAGGCCTAAAAGGAATTGGTGCAATGGTGGCAGCTGTGAGCCAAACATTGCAGGGATATTGAGTAGGGCACAGGGCCCGGTGTTGTTTCAGGGTGCCCGGACCCACTAAGGAGTTGGAGCTGACCTAACAACAAGGACAAACTGTATTTCACATAAACAAAATATAAATAGCAGAAATAAAATGGGAATAGTGAGATTTTTCTAGCACGGCAATGTGTAATAGATTTTTCTTTAGAAAGTAGTAATTTTTCACTTTCCCCTAATTTTCATACAAATGACAGATTTTACTCAGGAGAAAAAAACTTGGCAAATTATCTTTACTTGAACACAGGCTATGTCTATATATGTATTTAACCTCAATTTTAAAAGAGGGTGGTTATTTACTGGTCCCTGTTACCACTCTGTGACTAGTTAGATTAGAACATCTTTCTTAACAGAATAGTCTGCTCTCCTCTGTCCAATGACTTCAAAAGAGATGCTCTCCCGAGTGTCTGCAGCTTTGACAGAGGCTCTTTGGAGTTATAAAATTAAAGAGTTGGATGTTTATTTAATTTGATTGAATTCTAATTAACCCAATTTCCTTCATTATTTCTTTTCCCTGGCCATGTTTCTTTCTGGTTATCTGTTCCCCATTTTCATTTATGAACACTGAGGCAAGTAATTGAATTAAAAGGGCACAGTCAAGGCATTTTTTT